GTGGGATTGGGATGGGAATGCAGATGGGGATAGGGATGCGGATGGGGAGGGACAGAGGGATTTTGCAGTCAAATCAACCTAAGAGACAGTGAGGTTGAATCCCCAAGTCCTGAAAATACTAACAAGTCCCTTAACCTGATTTGGGATTCCAAGCCCCAGGGGTGGAAAAGGAAGTGGCAAAGGTGGCTGGGGCACCCCACAGCTGCCACCGGGGTGGTGAGGCCACTGGGCTCCTGCTGTCACCATCCATGGTTGCAGGTGTGTCCCAAGGGAGGAGGTCCGGGATCCTGAACTGAAACAGCAGGGCAAGCCAGGGAGATGGCTCCTAGTTCCATAGGTGACGCTGGCAGTGCTCAATGGCCTGTGGGAGAGACAGGGAGAAATGGCAGTGTGAGGCATGGACCCCAGCACCCTGCCAACCCAGGGGATAGGACTCAGCCAGCACTCACATGGCATTCAATTGCTGTGGCCATGTTCTTGCACCAGTAGTGCGGGCCCCAGGCGCAGGGGTCAGAGCCCAGGAGATCCTCCTTGGGTGAGTCGCAGGCTCTTATTTTCTGCATCACAAAGGAAAAGGGTAGGAGTAGGGCAAAAAAAAAAAACAAACCAACCCATGAGCACCCTGCAACCCTGCTGCTGTCTCGGTCCAGGCTGGCCCTGGGGAGCAGGTGCAGCACCCATGGCATGGGGCCACTTACGGTGCAGACAAAGGTGGGGTCCATCATTTGCACAAGGAGCCGCACAGCCGCTGGCTCATACTGCACCACGAGCGCCTCGCACTGGGAAGGAGAGAGGGGGTGAGGCTGGCAGGGGTTATTGGGTGGTCTCTACCAGGCTGGGTGCTCCCCCACCCACCCTGGCTCACCTTGCCAGTGAGAGGCATGGGCAGCAGCTCGCAGCCCTTCTCCAGCATGTCACCCAGCTCCACCAGCGTCTCATTCTTCAGCAGCTCGTTGTCAAAGTAGGTGATAAAGATCTGGCAGACATTGCAGAAGGTGCCCGCTCCCACCGCCAGCTGCTCCAGCACAGCAGCCACTGCAGGACACAGGGGGACCGTTAGCCACCCCCCAGCACCCTGCTCCCCAGGGACCCAGTGTCTGGGTGCCACCTGGGTCCCCTGGGCTCACCTCGGGGTGTATCCCCACTTCGAGGGCAGCAGCGCAGCATGGTGCAGACAGCTGCTGGGTCAGTGGCCTCCAGCAGCATGATGACCACGGCTTTGCCATAGGAGTCGACGAAGTCCTTGCACTGCCCAATTACACCGTGGGGCAGCATGTAGCACACCTTCTCAATGTCGTTCACCAGTTGCTCCTGCCAGGAGAAGGCAGGCAGAGGGAAACCCCCACTCCTTGTTGCTTCCTTTGCCTGCCTTTCCCAGCACCCCCCAAATCCCTGGACCACAGTGGAGGGGCTCACCTCCGTCACATTGTTCTCCAGGAGGCTCTCAGCCGCCTTCACAGCAAATTGGCACACCTCGCACAGCGGTGTGGTCCCCTCTCCATTCTGTCAGGACAAGGCAGTGGGACACACACTGAGCCATTCCCATCCCACCCAGCCATCAACCCCCACAAAAGACATTCCCCACCTTGGAAAGCTAGAGATGATTGAGGAAAAAACATGCAAAATAAGGCTTCCCTTTCCTGGCATTTGGATTTTTAAGGAGCACGCTGGAGTCAGGGGTGTCCCCGCTTACCTCCAGCACACTCAGGACCTGCGTCACTTTCTCTGTGAGCAGTGTGTGGAGGGGCAGCGCCGAGGCAGAGGAACAGAGTCCCAGCTGGCCACACAGCTCCATTGGGTCCTGAGGAGAGAGATGTCCCAAATCGAGCAGGCATTGCCTCTTATGAACGTGAGCCTGTGCCCCCTACTTCCCCATGGAGGGTGATTTCAGCCCATCAGGGCGTGAGTCTCACTTACCTCAGCCTGCTGCAGGTGGAGGGGCCAGAAAATGTCAAGAAAAAAATGAAAATAAAAAAGAATTACAGCAGTTGCAAGCTGGGGGGGGTGGGGGGGTGGGATGGGGATATTTAAAAGTTTGTAGCAATATAAAGCAGTGGGTTTAATTAAAAAAAAACAAGAGCAGGGCCCTGCGTCTGCTGATAAGGTCCCCTTAGCTGTGCCATTTGCACCCCCCCATGGCACACATCTGCCCCTGGTACCCCTGGAGAGTTGCTCACCCGCTTACCATGTACCGGAGCAGCTGGGTGGCCAAGTCGGCATACTCAGCCAGGTAGTGCTTGCACTGTGCGGGGGGAGACATGGCATCAGCACCCGAAGGCAGATACCCCACCACCCTGCCCGTACCCCCCCAGCCCCCCGGGGTGCTGCTCAAAAGCAAGTGGCTGCAAATGATGCACCCGTGCCACAGCGACATCCAAGAGGAAGAGGAGGGAACCCAGCATGATGTTGGCACTCTTACCCACTGCACCAGGTTGGGTGCTAGGCCCTCGCATGCCTGCTTGGCGTGGGCCACCAACACCTGGGCGAGGGTGGCATCGGTCCCCAGCTCCAGCTGCACAGCCGCCACCAGCTGCAGGCAGTCCCCGCACACCTCTTCCATTTCCTGCGGGACAACATGGGTTAGGGATGCATCGGTACCCCCCAAAATAATACTGAGCAACACCCACTGTCTACATTTGCAGGGCTGGGCTTTAAACACCAGTCACAATCTAGGGCAGCTTTTTGGCTGGCATCTCTTTGGTCCCCCTCTGCACCCTGCAATATCCCAGCCCCAAATTGGTGACAACCCTAATCAACTGTGCAGCAATTTTACTTTTTTTTTA